GATGTTCATGTTCTACATATACTGCTGACTGTTAAGACTTTGTTGGCTGTTTCTTTCTGTCCAGCCTTCACCCTCTACTGCCTTTGGTCTCAACCATCATTTCTCTTGAACTGAAGCCAACTAGTATCAACAAGCAGCTATACAGAGAGAGAAGATATATATCTTGGCTCTTAAAGAATCATTGCATTCTTTTTCTAGGGAGGAAGAAAAAAAGATTGGGGTCTTGTTTGCTGAATATTTCAGGTCTTTTCAAGAGCATTTGGCTCCATTCTTCATACCACTGAACAAGCAGGAAAAAAAAAATCTTCTTTTATTCTCTCATGATTAAGAGTGAGCTGGGGAAGATAAGCAGAATGGAAAGAGATCAGTCATCTCAATAAAAGAATATGCATTTTTAAAATACATATTAAAGTACTAACATGGGGAGCTCACTGGTGTAAAATGCCATGGTAACCAAACATTACCCCCTCCAAGAAAATAAAATTATATACCAATGCTATGGCTAGGCCTCAGTTCTAGGAATGCTTGAAAATGTTTTATTTGGCTTTGGAATCAAACTATCATGATTTGCTCATCCTGAACTAGTGTAGGGAAACATCCAGCTTCTCTGGCAATTTCACACTTCTTTGAATTTTGCAATGGAGTCCTTCTTATCTCTGTCATTTTTTTTTAACTACGGCCTCCTTCTAATGTGCCCTGCCACTCCATGTACTTTTCTGAAAGATTTCCAGTCACACCCTGCCCTCCTTTGTAGGAAGAATGGAGAAGTAGTTAATGGTGCTTGCACTGTGCTAATAACTTGCTTGCTAACTATTACCCAACGGGTAGTCAATCTGGAACACACAGTGCTCAGATGAAACCAGGTATGTTTCTGGAACTAATAGAGAACAATTCAAGTCCTCTGTTCACTTAAATACCCATCTGCTTACATCCTGGGAGCCTATAAATTTCTGGGGTAATTGGTAGTTGCCATGCAGGAGGTGATGGGATATTAATTGGGCTTGCTGGAGTTCTGATTCATCGTCCATCACTCTCTGTGTTCAAGGCTGGCCCAAGCATAAGGGACAGATGATGCAACTTCCTGGGGTGCCAAGCTTCTAGAGATTTCTAACTCATTATATAAATATCTCAGAGAAGAAAAAGAACATAGGGGATTCTCAATATGGATTATATATGTCTATTAATAGTGTTACCCTGGGAATCTTGTGGTTGTATTTTTATGGCAACCCTATCATGGGGTTTTCTTGGCAACTTTCATCAGACAGGGTTTGCCATTGTAATCCTTTGAAGTTGAGAGAGTATACTTGCCCAGGGTCATCCATCATGCTGGTTCCTTTGTAATTCCATATTTTCCCAGTTATTCCAATTTGGCAGGAACTGTCCCAGTTAATCTTTTGCCATCCCGTCTTCTCAACTGCTTTTAAAATTTCCTGGTTTGTCTTTTCACTTCCCACTTTCTCCCACTGCTTGCTTACTTTACTTGACTTGGTGAAAGCTGAGTTAAAAGTGCAAACTTAGAAGGAGGGAGAAGAGAGCAAGGAGTATAATTGTGCCCTTCCCAGTAAACTCTGGCAAAAGCAAACTGCTGCAGCCTCTTCTAGCTTGTGTCTTCTTCCTCATTAATAATAGCTTTTGCCTTGGTAGAAGGACAATAGGGAGGGAGCCACCTTTGGTAAGTTTTTTCCAGACCTGGGAGCAGCTACTGAGAAGGCCTTCTGTTTTTGTCTGTATTTGATGTGCCTCAGAAGACAGTGGGACTGAAAGATGGGCCCCCTTCAATGATTTTAAGGCCTGGGTGCCTCAGGAGACTAGTCGTCCCTCTCAAAAACAGGGGAAAGAAAGGGGCATGAGGGCTCAAGCAACATCTGTGAGAGTGATGCTGTTGTTGTTATTGACTTTGACTTAGGCAATTCCATCAACAATTCCATAACAATTCCATGACTTTCAATTCCATAAAGGGGTGCTTGGCACTCCTGTGCTATGGTGGTGGAGGTCTCCTTGGGAGGTGGCCTGTGCCACTGTGGTAAATCAGCAGAGGAGCACTTAGCATATCTTTGCCACAGCAGAGAAGGTCTCCTTGTGAAGAGGCCTCTGCCACTGCAGTGAGCCAGGAGGGCTTGACCAGGTATCTCTCCTCTTCTGTAGCATCACCTGGTGTGGGCTGGACCCACTGCACTCCCTAGTAACACCACTTGTGGGGACCACTGCAGTGCCTCTTGTCCTGTTCATACCACTGGCTCAAAATAGTTTCAACCATTCATATTAGGAAGCAGAGATATCACCAAGTCAAAAAAGAACAGGTGGGATGTTCCACACTGGACACCCACTCCCATCTTCCCTAAATCTCTTGAGGTAAAAACATACAGGTTTCTCACTCCCAGTCATCAGATTAATTACCCATTAGGTGACCTTGGGCAAATCATATTCTCTCAGCCTCAGAGGATGGCAATGGCAAACCCTCTGTGAAGAAATTTACCAAGAAAAGACCATGACAGGTTCACCTTAGAGTCATCATAAACTGGAAATGATGAAGGCAAACAACACAGAGATAGATGTAAACGAGGGCTGCTTTCACACTATCCAATTATAGCTCTGTGATGCCACTTTAACTGCTATGACAACATCTTATGGAATCCTGATATGTGCAGTTTGTTGTTGTTGTGTGTCTTCAAGTCATTTCTGACTTTCTCTGGCTTTTCTTCACAAACAAAGATTCAGGAAGGACTCATCCCACACTTTTTGCAAGCGTACTGATGACTAAAAAGGCCAATCAGAGATAAACAAGTCCGGTCACAGAAAGCACAGCAGAAGATCTCCTTGGGTGATGTTTCTGGGTTGTGATTCTTTCTGCATTGCCATTTTTCTTTGAGACTTGTTCGGCGTGACTTCTCAAATAAGGCTGCAGCATTGTGGATAGGGCGTCTCCATGCCTCCCAATGTGAGGCCAGGGTGGACCTTTGTTGGTGATCAATTTGGCCGAGCCTGAGATGTTGTTTCAGGGAGTCCTTGTATCGCTTTTTTGGAGCGCCCCTCTTTCGCAGACTCGTGGCAAGTTCACCGTAGAGTACTATTTTTGGGAGGTGATGGTCCTCCATCCTAGAAATGTGCCCTGCCCAGTGCAGCTGCGTTTTCAATAGCATGGGCTCAGTGCTGGTGATCCCTGCTTGCTCAAGGACAGCAACATTCTGACTTAAGGTGACCCTAAAGTGTATCACGGAGTTTTCTTGGCAAGATTTAGAACAGGTTTGCCATTGCCTTCCCCTGAGGCTGAGAGTATATGACATGCCCAAGATCACCCAGTGGGTTTCATGGCTAAGCTGGGAATCAAATTCTGGTCTCCAGGGTCACAGTCCTACAGTCAAACCACTGCACCACAATTGGTGAGGGTATTTTAGACCTTCAGCCAGAGAGTTCTAATGCCTCATCAGACTACAAAACCCAGGATTCAATAGAATGCAGCCACAGCAGTTAAACTGAGATCATAGTAGTACGGTTCTGTAGTAGAATAAGGCCCAAAGTCTGAGCAGCTTTTCATTTCTGAATAGAAAAGTGGGAGGCCAGGATGACTCCATCCTACTCTCCTTCCCCCAGAAAGTGAACACATTGTGCCATCAGGCTTTATAGAAATTGACTGGGATCACTTTTTAATGCTATGCTATGATATTTCCACAGTTTGTATATAGTCTTTTAATGAATGTTCATGCTTTTAACTTTGTAAACTGTTTAATTGTTTTTAAATAACGGTTACACATATGCTTTCATTGTGGTTCCCATGTAGAGATAATCTGTATTGTTTTTAAATATGTTGTTAACTGCCTTGAGTCCCATTATTGGGAGAAAGGTGGGGTAGAAAGATGATGATCATGATGATGCACCAGATGCTTGCTTTGCCAGGAAGCTTCATGTGTGCCTAGGCTCTGTAATAAATTTCCAAATAATTGACCGGGCCATTTGAAAAAGAGGTGGATCATGTGTTTGTGGCCTGAGGACATAAACTAAGTGGAATTCTACAGTGAAATGTGTGCCTTGGAGAGCATTTGGGGAATCTTTTCCTTGTAGAATGGGAGGTTTGTTGAAGCAGAAGAAATCTGCTTTGCTTGTTTTGATGGAGCCAAGGACACTGGGTCCTAGAAGCGGTATGGAGCACCCTACCCTCAGAAACACCAGCTTCCTGCTAAGCCTTTTTAACTGCAAGGGAAATGGGCATAATGATGCTGCCTCCCCAGCAGGGGCAATGAGACTCAATTAGCCCATGTTTCTAAAGTGCTTTTCAGCTCTGCAGGTGAGAGTAGGAGTGCAAAATAACTTCCTAATTTGCATTCTTATTGCCAGCATCATCTACAGGGAGAAAGTGTCAGAACAGCTGTTACTTCAAATTACCTCCCTCTAGTAACCAGGAGGATTTTAGCTATCATCTTATGGAGGTCTGACCCACTTACATCTCCAGGGAAGGGAGGCCAGCTTTTTAGCATATTCCTCTCACATCTAGTGTGCTTTATGATATTAACCAGCTAACCAACAGCAACAGAAGCATCAGGCTAAGAAGTGAACTGGAGATGAGCAGATTCCTTCAGACAGCAGTCTATTGCAAGCCTCTTAGCAGAGATGAACAAAAAGAGCAGGGTCTACTACAGGGGGATGAGATGTACGTACGTAAAAAATATTCTGTCATTGACCGGGATGAGACTGAGAAGGGATGAGATGAAGAGGCAATTGAGCATCTGGGGATATGTGTGGGGGAATAGATATTTCTGGGGGGAAAGGTTAAACAAGATGGGAACAGGAGGTAGAGGAGAAGCTCCATCAGGCTGTGTTTTCTACATTAACAAAGGTTTGTGCATTGTAACAGGTTGAGACAGCAAGCTCAGGATCAAGAGTAAAGCAACTGATGGTGAGTTGTTGGTGCTTCAATCTCAGCTAGATACAGTAAGCTAAAACTAGAGCTCCATTTTTTTTTTACTGCACCTCTCTTAATCCCAGAACTGTCATGTCTAATGGTTGGCAGAATGGCATAGTGGTTTGAGTGTTGGACTACAACTCTGGAGAACAGGGTTTGATTCACAGTTCAGCCATGAAACCCACTAAGTCACCTTGAGCAAGTCACATGCTCTCAGCCTCAGAGGAAGGCAATGGCAAACCTCCTCTGAATGAATCTTGCCAAGAAAACCCAATGTTAGTGTTGCTGTAAGGTCACCATAAGGTGGAAATGACTAGAAGGCACACAACTTCAAGACAAGCTCTAGCAGAATAGCAAATAGCTCAGCTAGATAAGGTAAGCAGGCATGAAGAGAGCTTTAGTCTGACAGGGATTCTTCCCAGTTTCTCTCTATTCATATTTTTGTTGTTTTGGAGTTTCAAAATAGTTTCCGTCGTACTTCCAAAGTTGAACTGATAAACGAAGAAATATCCATCTCGGTATAAATGCACGTGTTGGTTTCATTTCCTTCCCGTTTCACGTTTCTTTTCTTCTTCTTCTTCTTTACAAAATTAAGTCCTTTCTGTCCCATTTACAAATAAGATGAATTTTTGTAAGTTCCTTTAGAAAAATGTTGACAGATAAGAAAATGTTGACAGGTAAAAAGAAAACAAAACTGAATTGCCAAAATATGAATGTGGGAGAAGGTAAAATTGGTCAATTTGCCCATGCCTTAAAAAAACTGAACTAGCCAAATTCAGTAGATGTGTCTACTACATCAAGGAGAGTATCACATTGTAATTTTCTCCACTGCAGTTGAGGAATGTGTGGAGCCTCTTGGAAAAAGAGGTAGTTCAGCACTACAAGCATGACTCAATGCTCAGGAACTAAGGGTTAAACTAGATTTGGTTTTAGGAAACATCCTCACTCAAGTGGTGAAAGATGCCTGCTTGTCATAGCATAGGATTGCCAACCCTTAGCTATTTTGCACTTTGAATGCTTTATTTTGTGATTGGTCATTAGATGGTAAACATGGGCAAAATTTTCAAATCTCATTGGTGCAAATCTCATTGCATCTCAGCTGTGTTTAGCTCTGGGAATACACAGTCCCTTAAAATTCAATTTGATTCTGCTAAGCACCAGACTTTAAAGATTTCAGAACTCAAGACTCTCCTTGATGGATGGATGGATCTCTAATTTTCACTTCAGCCACATTGACGTTTTATAAAAATCTTCAGTTCCTTCCATTCCATTTGTGAAGGAATTTGTGGATGTTGGTTACGTTCCAAGCCAAAGAATGAATGAATGAATAAATAAATAAATAAATGGGTGGGTAAATTAAATGAAACTCTCATCCCTTTCTAGATATAAATGTAATAAATGCAGTTTCTTCTTCTTAGTTTGGTGCCTCATTGATGTTAGTACCATAAACTATCATGTTATTTCCAATTGATCCTGAAAAGTCCATTTCCCAAGAACAGGAGAACTATGACCAACAACCTAGCTCATCCTCCTATAGAAAAACCTTATTGCTGTAGGCTTTAGAAACATAATGGCTTCTTAATTAAGCCAAGTGACAGCTTTATTTCCTGAAACCCATTTCCAGAGTTCAATTTTATTTTTACATGAAATTAATATTTTGCACTTAGAAATAATAACAGACAACAGAGAGATGTATGGGACTGGGGTCGTATCTCTGCTCCCATTAAGGAAATGCTCCTGCTGTCATCTGTATTTCCTCAATCGGTACTCAATTTCTAGTGCTTGTTCTGCAGAAAACAAAGCATGAATCAATATAATTAAACAGTGCTTCTCTGGCCAAATTAAAAGGGGATGATTATGTCAGCACAATCCACCCCTTCTGACTTGTGTGTCTGGACCACATAGGCAGCATCACACTTCTTTTTTTAATAATAAAAAAGTCTAGGTTAATTAAACCAAGGCAACTTCCCACCTTTTTTTTGGCTTGCCACCCAGTGTCATGACTCTTATTGGGGAACAGCCATTCCATATGTAATTATGTTTCCAGATTGCATGGAGAGTAGAAGAAAAACTACAATGTTGGAGGTCAGTGCTGCTCAGAGTGGTGGTCCATGGACCAGTGCCAATCCATTAACCATTGACTACCAGCTCCTGGCAGTTTTCTAGGAAAGTAGGAAACATTTGCAACCAATAGGCAGAGGCATGGCACCACTCCATGACACATTGAGGTGAGGGATTCCACCCAGAATTTGGAGAGGAGAGGGAAAGAGAGTGGGTGCATTTGGAAGGACTGATAAGATCACTCCCAGAGATTGAGGCAGGATGGGGAGTGAAGAGCAGGAACAGCAGTGAGGACATTGAAGGACTGGTGGGAAAGTGTGGGAGAGTCCTAGTTGATATGGAAGCAGAAGTTTGTTTAAGCCAAGGTGCAGCAAGTGATTCTGGTTATTTCAAGTAGTGAGATTCTCTTAGCTTTTGCAGGGGAACTCCAGAGGCTTGGAAGGTCCGCTTTAGACTCACATGCAATCCATAGGACACACATTGTCTATGAGACACTCCTGGGCTACTTGGACAATGGCTTGACTCAGTATGAGACAACTTGGAATATTTTTACATTTCTGAGTGCCACAGGCAGAGAAATGTTTCTGCTGATCATACTAATATATATACAAAGGTAACCATGTTGGTCATATAACAAAGTACAGTATCATCCCAAATCCACAAAACAGTGATACCTTTATTGGGCACCTTTGCCTGGTGAAGAAGCCAGTGGATCTTTGAAAGCTTGTAACTTGTATAATGTGCATTTTGGTTGGTCCAATAAAGGTATCACTGTGGATTTGGGATGACACTGTACGTGTTAATCTAGAAAGCTATGGTTCTAGTATTTATGCTTTTTGCTCAACATTGGATAAGGTGACAGGTATGAGGAAGGTAGAATGTTCTCACCATGTGCTGCATTTTGCATCAGTGATGCTACCTGCAGCAGCCTCTAGCTAGCATGCTTCCCCCCCCCCCCACAAACTCTTTGAGTAATACTACATTATGATATAAATCCTTCAACCTGCATGCAGGTGTAAGTAATTATTGTACTACCGATTGCTCACTAGTAGGAGCACTGAATGCCACCATTTTGAACTGCATACTAAGCGTAACACTCCCCCTATTGGAAAAAAAACCTCTGAAATCCTCATTCAGCCATTTGTATACTCTCCAATTGTCCTAGTTTGGCTGTGACAGTCCAAATTAATCTTCTGCCATCACACTTTAAAAATGTCCCAGTTTCTCTCTTCTCCTCTTTTCCACTTCCCCCCTTCTGATCAGCTTACTTCAATTGCTGCAAACTGCATTCAAAGTATAAAAGTAGTTTGCCCTTGATAAGAGCTGGCTGGTTTAAACTCAATTGGCTTCAGTCATGGTTTAAACCTTGATTTGACCCAAATGACTTTAAAAAACCTCACCCCTGTTGGTTTTTTGATTAATTCAAATTTATTTAAAGTCTAGCTTTATTATTATTTTCCAACCCTCTTACTGGAACAACAGTGACTGAATTTAAACATTTTAACTTTATCAGTTTATTGTCAATTGTTTATTGCTAAACCGATATCCAGTGTCAGTTGCTTCTTTTTAATCACTTTACTTTATAATGCAAGAAATGCTATTCAGAAATAAATCCTTCAATTAACATAGGTTCAACCAAAACATCTCTGAGAGTACTTCACATGTTTTATTATGTATAGTTGATGTATATTTGGATTTAATAAGGATAATATGCAGTATAAAATTGTTTTTTGTTGTTGTTGAAAGATTGAAATCATATCAAAGCCTAATAAATTTGGATTGTTAATGTTGAAAAGAATTAAAACATGGTTGATCACGCTTTCTAATACATAAAATAATGCTTTAGAGTATTAATATAATAAGCAGGATTCAATTTTTTTTCATTAGAATATTAATGCAATCCCCTCACCCCAATCAGTTTAAACAAACAACAGCAACAGCAACAACCCTGGGTTTTAGCTTTAAAAAACTTGTGGTTCCCTTTCCCAATTCTTAACTCAATTAACTCAGATTGGAGAGAGGAAAGAGGTCTCTTCCAACTCTATGATTCTATTTTATTCTGTTTTTGCAAGAACTTACTCCCTTGGATATTAAAGCGACTTACCTCTTCCGGTTTAAATGTTAAATCGGGCAGCATCCAGACCCTATCACAGGGATTTTGCTGCTGAATCTGCCACCTGGGTCCATCCCAGGTCCATCCCCACTCCTGGGGCCTCTCACATGCCTCTTTTTGAAACTAGGAGTTTTCTGGCTTAAGAAAATGACCACTGGAGCTCTCCTGAGAATAGAGATGGACATAGGATGGACCTGGGTAGCGGATTCAGCTGCAAAATAGAGTCTGGATGCTGTCTGATTTAAAATTTAAGCTGGGAGAGGTAAATTGCTTTAATAGCCAATGCAATAGGTTCTGTAGACTCAGGCAAAAGCAAAATCCTGCATCTTCTCCC